CCCTTCCTTCCATTGGATAAATACAAATATTTTAGCTTCATAAAGTGCATCTTTCAGCTCTGGCACACTGAATTAGCAGGAAYCCCGGTCAGCAGTGCAGACCCTTTCTGCAAGTTGCTGCTCTGGRTCCCCTGAGCATTTGCCACCGTTTCAGCCCTTTTCACTCTTCCCTGCAGCCGTGCTGCCCCTGGGGGCTCTAGGAAACCTGCAGTACACGCTGGGCTCCCTCCCCATCATTGGCGACAAGTCCATCCAGCTGGATTTGAACGTGAGTGCCGCTGCTCCCTGCATTGGGCTCCCACGTCCCTGAATGCAGGAGATGCCCCAAGTTTTAAATACTGATTTCAAAGCGCTGCTTGGAGGGAGCCCCCAGGCTCAGGCTGCCCCTGCTTCGCTTTCCGGAGCTAACCCACGCTGCTCTCACTGTGCCCCACAGCTCCTTGTCCGGGACTCTGCTGGCAACGTGGTTGACCCTGGCGTGGGACAAGTGGGACAACTGGGACAGCTGGGACAACTGGGACAAGTGGGACAACTGGGACAAGTGGGACAAGTGGGACAACTGGGACAAACAGGACAACTGGAACAAGTGGGGCAAGTGGGGTCCATCGTACTGCCACCGGTGGCCAGCGGCGTCTCGCAGCTTGGGCTCCCTCCGAGCGTGCTCAGCGCCGTCCTGGGGCTGCTCCGCGGCACCGGCGCCCTCGATACCGACATCTCCGCAGGCTCCGTGCAGGTGGGTGCTCCCCAACGTGCAGGCTCCTGCGCCCGCCGGAGCAGCCTGCTCCACCCCGCGCTTTCCCGCAGGGAGCCGCCAGCATCCCGCTGTCGACATCCGTGCTGCTCTCGCTGATGCCCGAGGTGGGTGCTCGTGTGACATGTGCCACCCCATGGGCCACCCCATGGGCCACCCCATGCACCACCCCGTGCGCCACCCGTGCTCTGCCCGCACTCACGGTCCTGCCGCCCGCAGCTCGCCGCCGCCGTGCCGCCCGCGCTGCCGCTGGTGCTGCAGGTGCGGAGCGCCGGCGTGCCCGTCGTGTCCCTGCGCAACGGTCGTGCCACCGCCCGCCTGGCCGCCTCCGTCACCGTGCTGGCCGCGCGCCCCGGTGCCCCGCCGCAGCCCCTCTGCACCCTGCTCGCGGTAGGTGCCTCTCTGCCCTCCGGGGACGCCCCAGGACAYGACGAGGGTTTCGCTGCTCCCTGTCTTTCAAAGGGGGCTGCCCGGGGTCTGTGGCATGCACATAACAAAACAAAATGTTTGGTGAATTAGTGCAAACGCAGCTAAGATGTCAGACTGCTCAGGGCTGGTGATGCCGCCCTGCAAAGGCTGCTCTTTCTGCATAYGGGGGTTGATCTTTCTGGTTCTGGGCTCTTTACATGAATTCTGGGGATTCTGCCAAGGGGTAGCCGGGGAAATCACCTCATTTATTGTGTTGTTCCTTCTSCAGGACATCGACCTGAACATTGGCGCCTCTGTCTCGGGCAACAACCTGCAGACCAGCCTGAGCATCGACCGGTAGGGCGGCCCGCACCGCTCGCTGCGCCGGAGCGCGCGTGGCGCTGCGCCCGTGCCCACGCGCACGAGCTGCACCCCAGCGGGGCAGCGGCTGAGCCGGGCTCAGGTCTGACCGCTCCGCTTCCCCCCACAGCATCACCCTGAGGCAGGCGGCGTCCAGCATCGGCGACATCGACGTGAGTGCCCAGCGCGGCGCTCAGCGCAGGCCCCCCCAGGGACCCCCCAGGGCTTYGCTCCCCCTGCGTCTTCACATGCTCCGGGCAGGGAATTGCTGTTCATTCCCAGCCCTGTTACAGCCTGTAATAAGGGCATGGAATACACACRTCCTGCTGTGCTGCGGGGGGCTCTGGAGGGGCAGGAATCGAGACTAAACCCCCGGGGGTTCCATGTGCGTCCCCACGTGTTGCTGAGGGACATCCTCGYGTTTGCGCTTTACACCCCCACGTGCCAACCTTCCCAGCACGAGCACTCGCTCCACTCCGCTCTGCTCCGGGCGCTATCGCACTCTCTGCCCCTGCAGGTCTCCCTCCTGGAGGGCTGGATGAGGGACATCCTCCGAGTCACCTACCTGCCCGGCATCAACAGTAGGGCCAACAACAGCTCCAACAGCGCTCC